ATAGGAATATTCAGAAGGTGATAAAATTAACAACCAGTTGAGTTTCACTTGATATGGTCATTTCAGGTACACAGTTTAAATCACCAATTATTGTCAGGTATCTATTGTCCATCTATTGTCCATATCAATCAATACAGTTCACTTCAATTATTACTTGTGGTGAAGTTCTCAAACCTCTTTCACAACTTAGTTATTTTGGTATCTTCTGGAGGAATGAAAAAAGTGCACTGCAAAATCCTGTTAAGTTTTTAATTTTCTAAAACATAAAATATATCTGAATTTTATTTATCTAGGGCATGCTATGCCTTAAAACATTTCCAGATTTGTCTGTACTCAGAGTAAATTTTGAGGTGAAAATGCAGCCATTTTAGCCAAAGGGTCCACGTGAACCTTAATATTTAAATCACTATAAACACATGACGCCTACATATACTATACCTACTTAATCAACTCATAGACACATATCATTAAAAAAACAAACACGTTGTTCGTTGTTGTATTGGTTGCGTACAGCACGTGATCTGTTTTCGAAGCAACACATTACTATCGGTCATATTTCCTCGCGTACTCTATTCAATGGTTTATTATTTTTAACATTTGTATTTTTATTTAGGAAAAGCAGTAATATTTAGATTGGATACAAATGAGCCCGAACTAAGGCCACCCCGAAGGCTAGGCAGGTCTACGTCCACTAGGTGTATTTGGTGTGTTGCAAATAAAAAGTACAAATTTGGTGAAAAGTACAAATGGAAAGCTGGCGGAATTGTAGCTACAATGAACCGGAAATACCTGTTGTCATAAGTGTGTGTCCAAGATATGCTGTAACGGCCAACCTATTCATGATGTTGTTTAAAAGAGTTTAAATGAGTTTCTAGTATGCAGCCTCCCTCTTTATTCGACAAGTAACTTTTATGCGAAAAAAAAGTTATTAATGGGTAAAATTGAAGTAATTCTTTTTATCATAATGTTTACTTGACAACGAAATTCATTATCGATTTTCACTATTGATACCGCTCATGGCGGACCGTTAGTTCCAGAGGGAATTATACCAGTAGTCAGTGTTTTGTCACGGACATGATTTACAACATACATTTATAAACTTACCCGTTGATAAATTTAGAAATGATTAAAAAATGAAGTTACTCCATCAGTTAATTGATCTTAGATAATTTGGCTATTCGGTTTAGGTCTCTTTTCGTCATGTTTGCTCCTAAAGTATTTATGCATTTTCGTGTGTCTAAATATTTGAGGTCCCGATGAAGATAAATCAAGAAACAGCGCTTTAGACGCATCAAATTTATGATGTCTGAGCAGAAAGTTGATGAACCACGGTTATTTCAAAGAACGTCTCGTCCTTTTTCTAAAAAAGTTCATCGGGAGATACCAAGACCTTGTTGATAAATATTCCGTATCAACTTCAAAAATAATACATGATGATCTTGAAGTATGGATTCTAGGTACTGACGTTGTTTATCATCTTAAGTACGTGTTATAATGTTCTTTTATTTGTCTTTGTATATTATTAATCTTTTCTGTTTAGTTAATTTTTGGTAATATCCTTTTGGCGTGGCTCGGTACATTTCGCCACTGTGTCATTGTGCTATGGTCATTTTTTGTATTGTTGTCTTTCATTTTTGCTTATGTGCTTTGTTTATATGCCATTTAGTTTTTATTTGTTGACATATTTGTTTGTTTTTACAGTGATTAAGATTATAACACAATGTTGACTGCTGTATCCCAATTTTTGACATTTTTGCCTATTATGTCTGTTTGTTTTGTACACACATTGTTGTCAATATAATTGAATTTTATGCAACTGTCATACAAGTGAGAGGTTTAGCTAGCTATAAAACCAGGTTACATCCACCATTTTCTATATAAGGAAATACCAGTACCCCGTCATGAATATGATAGTTGTTTTCCATTCGTTTGATGTGTTTGAGCCTTGATTTTGCCATTTGATAAGGGACTTTTCGTTTTGAATTTTCCTTGGAGTTCGGTATTTTACTGTTTGCACATTACTATGAAGATCTAAGTGTCCCAAAAGAAGAACAGTATGACTGTAGTTATTTGAATTTATGTAAAGTTAGACAAAGCTGTATACAGGAGGCCTTACAAGATTTTACAGATATTCCAGTGTTGTTTTACAGAATCTGAAATAGAGAATGCAATAGATTGTCTTAACACCAAAAAAGTCCTGATGAATTTGGATTCACAGCAGAACATTTAAAAAATGCAAAACAAACTGTAACACCTGCATTAAAAGCAATATTTAACAACATCTTATTATATAGGAAGGTTCCAATCTCATTCAAATCAGGTATACTCACTCCAGTGCTTCAACAGATAAATACCCACTGAGTTAAGTAATTATAGAGGTATAACAGTGACACCAGTTACCGGAAAAACCTTTGAGTACTCATTCATAAACTAGATGAAGTTAGAATCAAAAACAGACCTACAGTTCGGCTTTACAAAAAGTATGTCTCCAATAATGGCCAGTCTAATTATACCAAAGGCAGGATCTTCTTGTAGAATAAGAACAAAAAGCTGCAGGATATTACCTAAGAAATAGATATGCAGGCACCCCAACATGCGCTGACGATATAATTTTTATTCCTAATAATGAAAATGAACTGCAGATAAGATTAAATGTACAGAGTAGATATGCAAACGAACATCATTATACTATATATCCAATGAAAACATAAATTGTTGACTGTTCAAAGATAAAAAAGCAACTATAAATGGAATCAAAATGGAAATGATGTAAACACTGCCGAATCAGATGCACACCTATGTATAATAAGAGCTCAAAAGAACGAAAGCCAAATGAATATTCAAGAAAGATTGCAAGAAGAACGAAATAATTGCACTAATGGGGTCAGGAGTCCATGGGACAACTGTACATGATCCTCCAACCTCGTACAATATCTATAAAATATATGTTGTACCAAGGCTTATATACGGACTTGAAGTATTACCTCTGACAAAAGCAAATATTGAACAACTGGAAAAATTCCATAGGAAAAATCTTCGGCATATACAATCCCTACCAGAAAGAACTATTGTTTTTATTGGTATAAATATTGATTAGTAAATTAAAACCATACTAAATATTTTTGTTATACACATATGTAATTTCAAGGTACTTCAATCTGTCGATACCAATATTTTGGCATTGCAAAAGGTCATGTTTTTCTCTGACTGTTAATGACGTCTTAACACTAAATCCATTGGATGTTGGATGTGTGCTGATTGATATTTTAGTCTTAGATACATGATTTCTTTTATTAGTTGATATTGCCTTTTAACTAGCTGTCAGTAACTGCGATTACTCTCAGATCTGTATGTGGTGTCTTGTTTGTTGTTAGGGATGAGGAATGGATAAATACCCTGCTTCGTCCGGTCTGTGATTTTGTTTGATGTTTTTCGGCTTTGTATCTGTATGATGAGTTAAGCCTTTTTCAAATGATTTTTATAGTTTGTTCTTTGGTTGTTCTGTTACACTACTGTCTCAGGTTAAGTTTTTAAAGACAAGACAGTAATTCCACAGCTAATAATAGTCTGTACAACATATAAGAGGTGTTAAACAACTCTAGCAAATATATGGACAGTATTGAGAACAAAACCAGAAATCTGATTTCCAGCTACATATGGACAGATTGAAAACTTTGGAAAAGATCAATCTAAGAATAGATAGATAGGACTTTATAATAGTGTACATAATTCAAGTCAACATAAGGACAGTTTAATCAAGAGAATACAATGTTTCAATTTAATAAAGGCACATAACCTGACAGCGAGTTTGAAATATAATGTATATATTTGTACAAACAACAACAAAAAAAAAACCCCATAATTCGGTAAATCTAATAACTATTTATAATTTCATTTTAAACTCACTATTGTTGCCAAATTATTTTCTGATTAAAGCAACAATTAAATAAAGTGAACATTTACTAATACTTGACAAAAAAAATCCACAGTTAACATCAGAAACCACTTAAGTTTTAATAATGTTAAAGTGTACTATTTTACTCCATTAAGACTATATAGGATAAACCCAATTCATTTTTTTCTTTCTTTTTCTTCATATTTTATTATTATGAAACTCGCTTATTTCAATATGTTATAGCGGATAGAAACTTCATATTTTATCAAACTTAATCATATTTTACCGTATTTTGTCTTTTAACAAAATTTGGTTTACTTTTATTCAGATTTAAAACAATATTAATTGATTTCAACATCCATTGCTGAATTATATATGAGATAATTTAAAAAAATAAAACAAGTCCTTGTATACATGCAATATAAAAACAAAACATTTTTCTTTTATTTGTCTTAGTTGTACATGATTGAATTAAATTACTAAGGGTATATATACTCCATATAGAGGTGCTCCCACTAACAGGAGGTTTATACACAGAAAAAGAAGAAGTTCACACCACGAAGTGCGTGTAAAAGACAAATCTGCGTGTCCTGACTAGTAATCACCAATAGTTCTAAAATGTTAATTTTTGTTTATATCTGTATTTGAGTTGCTGACTCATGCACATGTGTGTATAATTATTTCCTTGTAGGTTTTTAATCGCAATAAATATATTTGTATTACTTTTATTGCATTTTATGGTAAAATATTATATACGCATGATAAAGACTAAAAGAGTCTATGTCTATTGGTTATCAGTCATAAAAAGATGTACTTGACACAATTTATGATCGTATATACTTATCTGCTATGTAATACACAAGGTAAATAAGGTATTTCCGACTGCTTTTTAAAAATAAAAACAAATCTAGAATCTCAATGAAAAATTGTCTGACACTAATCGTTTTTCTATGTTTCATTCTTTTTTCTAGTTAAAGCAAATAAACTAGAACACTGTCATAAAAGTAAACTATACAAAACGAAAGCACATTTTCTGAAAATCTTTCTTTACTATGACATGTAAAAATAGATTATACGGAAAGATAAAAATAGACTGGAAGTTTATATTAACAACGGTTTATTTTTAGTTTGTTCGAAGTATTTGTTATTATCTTTTATCAAACATTATTTAATAGCATAAGACACATAGATAAAACAGGTAAAAAAGATTTTTTTATTAATTTTTACATTTTGAATTAGTGAGTTCTCAGTCTGGGTGAAGTTAAAAAGAAAAACTATCTTTACCTTGAAACCAAGCAGTGAAATAACAAATAACAAATTGAATGAATTTTACAGCTTCAACCAGAATTTCTTATTATCAAATTATTTAGCTCTGTCTCACAGATTTGATCAGAAATCTGTCATCCTAAGTAGCTTCATGTAAATACGACAGACCGATAGGGACATTCTTTTATTACAATTTCTCATTTCAAACTTGACATATGTCACTTCCAAGTTGACAATACGTTGATAGTGAGAAAAGTCTACTTGGAACATAGAAATGTCAAATTGGAACTGAGAATTGTCACGCTGGAACTAAGATATATCAAGTTGAAAGTAACAATTCATAATAACAATTTTAATCAGTGATCATGATTTTTCAAATACGTGATCTCGAATTCAATTTATATTCTAGTAGGTCCTAGATAGGCGTCTGTCGGGTATCAATCAACTGCACAAAACTTTTTTTTAACCACTGATTGGGACGCCATCTTTAAACGATAATTATTTTGATACACGTAGGAAGGGAAAATTAAAAGATGGTACTGATAAATATACTTAAATAAATACTTATTACTATATATCTTAAAACACAATATTTCATAAATGAATACTGCTGATAAGGAATACGCATTTTAATAGCCTTTATTAGAGAGATTCTCAAAGTTTGACCAGAAAAAGAGAAATATGGCTGCCTGATCTTCTTCCATCCGACAGAAAGACTCAATTTGACGTGCGTCCTTTTAATTGTACGGGGTGTGTAAAAACAGAGAAACGTCCGTCGAAATGTTGATGTTCAATTCGAATACCACGCTATTTGAACGTTTAGTTACCATTGCAACAACTGTTTGATGGATACAAAGGTGTCCTGTTGCAACTAAATCTTTTGTCTAATATATAGTATCCTCGTTTTTCAATTGCAGGCCAAATGATCCTTTCTGTATCTCAGTTTCACTCACTTTCTAAATCTTCTTATCAATACCTTAATACTGGTATGCCTGACATATTTGCCGCTAGACGTTAAACAAACAACAAGGCATTTTTTCCCGGAACATCTTAAGAACTTGATGTTATAGATAAGAAGCAATTTACAACTATTCCGATTCAGTGAAACAACTATTCCAATTCAGTGAAACAACTATTCCTGTAAAGTAATAACTGATACAAACATTGATGTTGAATAATTTATTTTTTACCTTCGTTATATTATTATATGCCAGGCAATTGGATAAACGCGAGAAAGAAGACGTAGATACTCTTTCGGAATGGATTGAGACAGTGAGGTCGTTGATACAAATCAGAATTAAAAACCTGAATGGGTCTATGAACACCAACGCTACATCAATCTTTGAAGACCCAAATGTTGCAAAACACCTGTTCAACCTCAATGACAAATATGTTATTGGGCCCGCAGATAAAGTCCCAAACAACATCGTTTTTGTGTGTAAATCACATTACATAAACTGCTTGATAAATGAATTAGGTATGTGCAATTCACTTCGAAACTCAACACGTACCCCCACGATACTTACCAAGGAGGAAATCCTGGATAATCATGGGTTTGTTTTATGTTCATTTGGAGTTTCAACCAAAGATGAAGAACTGGATCTTCCTTCACTGTATTGGATACCGAAACTACATAAATGTCCTTACAAACAACGTTATCGCAGCGATGTTAAGGCAATTTCGATAAGATTTTGTCAGGGGTAGATAACCCCGTAAGGACCTCATTATGTATTCATATATTCATTAATGGCGAAGATTCCGTAAGCTGCGTCTATCGATGAAACTGTATGAAATCAAATTACATACATGCCTGTTAACTAAAAACGGGTATCCGTATGATGTAATTTGTTTATCGAAACACGAATATTGTATGTTTGTGCTTTAATTATTATGGCAAACAGTTGCAATAGCTGTTTTTGTTGACGAGATTGTCGGCTTGTGGACCCCGCCTCCTTTTGCAGATTAACCAATCAGTAGACGATCGCCGTCAAATAGATGTTTGTAGTTTGCAGAATGGAAAGAACCTTGCAGCGAAAATTATTTTCACTTCTATGTGAAAATCTAACCAGAAAAGTAAGTGTGAGCCTCCAAATATGTATTATTTATGAAACATACGTTGCTTGTTTTGTTAATCATTCGCTTCAGAAATAAAAAAACTGTATACTTATAGATAAAAACCAGTTCAGTGTTGGCAAGCATGATATACACGTGGTCATGGTGGTCAAAACGAAACTAGACTGCAACAGATATCTGAAATTTGAATAATTTATCGAATCCCGTCAATAAATGAACAGAATATCGAATGAAACAAGATCCCTCCATTATACCGAGAGCCCATTCTCAACATTTACCCTGAAATTTAATAGTTTCTAATTTTCGTTTAGCCATTCGGGGAAAAGGGGGGGGGGGGGGGGGGGGGGGGGGGGGGGGGCGTTCCACTGTTCACCTCTCTCCGGCACTCACATTGCTGGAGCCATGACCCATACTTTCAAAGCATGGAGCTCTTAATTTGTAACACAGGGCACACAAACTTGCTCAAAAGGAAGCCTTGAAAGACGTCATAATTATTTGGACTACCTCCCCCTCTCTTTCCAACTTCTACTCCCACCATTTAATCAGTGTGAAGTCCATACTATATTATTTTCTGCTTAGTGCTGTTGGTATTAATCAACTTTGATTTTAAAAGGGCGGTAAAGGGTTAATTTTATGCAATGTTTTCTATTTACCCAGTGTTTATATTTTATTTCACTTGTTTTTGTGTTTTGACGTTTGACCTCTCAATACATGTATCTCGTGTTTTGTTCGATGTGCGTGTTTCCCCTTATTTATTTCCATGTTTCCTGTCGTACAATTTATTTCTCATGCTTGTCAAAAAAGTTTTGCAATTCTATTGAATATTTATGGTTCATGTATGTGATAAAGAACTTCAATTCAAATTTAAATGTACTATAAATAATAATTTTTTTGAAATCGGATGCAACTTAATGTTTTAAGGAAGTTAAAAGGTGACAGCAACATGATTACATCTTTATGTCCATTTAAAATGACTACAGAAGGCTGAGTATCAGGGTAATTATTTGGAAATATCCTGGACAGTGCGTCTTTCTCTGGAAAAAGCCTGTGCACCTTGAATAAATTATCTTATTATCTGTGAACCAGTATTTTTTAAATCATTACCAAGTCAGAAATATATATCTAACCAATTGCAAGTTTATGTACTTAAATTGCTGGCTAAATAGAACAATTTTTAATACATAGTCAAAATAATAATATAATTTCTTGAAAGGCTTTGTTAATGATTAACTGGGACGCCTTCCTCATGTTCCTATGACCGTCATTATTAGGAAGGAATCGCAGCAAAAAATTGAAGAAGCTTTTCATGACTCAATAATATTATACAAATTAATATGTAGTTTGCTCATCAAGACTGCCCACTTTGACATAATCTTTTTATATATATGTATGACTCTTAAAGTGCGATGGTCACGCTAAAGTGCAATGATCTACGCTAAAGTGCGATGGTGTCAGACGCTAAAGTGCGATCAGATGACACGCTAAAGTGCGATGGTGTAACAGGAATGGGATTCAGGCGATGGTTTTTGTTTTTTGCTGTGTTCATATTAGTTTTTCGTTTATTGTATTGTTTCTAAATCATGTCGTTATTCTCTTTTGAATTGTTTTACACAAGTCATTTCGTGATCCTGTATAGCTTTCTATGCGACGTAAGCCAAGGCTCCACATTGAAGGTCATAACGTTAACAGGTGCATACATCAACGATATTTGGTCTTTGGTGGATATTTGTTCGTTGACAATTACACCACATCTTCTTATCTGTTTTTTTGTTTATTGTTTATTTTGTATATTAATCCGTTCGTTATCTTTCTCGTTTGAATTGTTATACACTGGTCGTTTTGATACTCTTTGGTCGTTATAGAATACTATCTGCGGGGTTAGCCATACAGTAACCTATAGTTAATTACATTAATGACATTTAGCATTGGATAGCGACTTGTCGCATTGGCAATCATATTATGATACTACACCTCTGGTCATTATGTTACTGTCTTGTTGACGAGTATCCATCTCTTTTACAAACATGACGAACCATATTTTAAAAAATTGTTTTTACAAAATAATTCAATTAGAAAGTTAAAAAGTAGCTTTTATTTCACGCAAGTAAAAAATTGAAAACAAAAGTTTAATAATTTCATGCGTCCGAAGCACTTTTCTGGATTTACCTTCATCAGGAACGCTCAAAGCCAAACATTTGAAATCCGAGGATGTATAAGTACTGAAACAGTTGAAGAGCTATATGCTTTTCCAGTAAATGACATGGGACGAATTAAATACTTTGACACTTGGTGTATTTTGCCATTTTCTCTCTCTTTTATGATATACACCTTCCCCTTACTAATGTCAGTTTCAGTCTATGTTTATGAAAGTATTTTTTTTTCCAGTATACTGACAGAATCATGTTTGTCCCCGCCGACACAGCATTTGTTTGTACAAACGGCTTGTAGCATCATAATGCGATTTAACGTTGCAAACGTCAATACTTTCGTGAACAAACGCACTTTAGCGTATCGCGGCATCAGTCTTTAGCGTGTTCCATTAAATGGCACAGACTATCACACTTTAGCGTATCAAACCATCTCACTTTAGCGTGACCATCGCGTTTTAGCGTCCCCATCTCACTTTAGAGTCCTACATATATATATATAAGTAAAACAGTATTTAAATTGAATAGAACACTGCATGCATCATCGTTCTAAAAATAGAGTATTACATAAAATATCTGAACTGTATCCCTGTTGGCAGGAATTAAATCCATTACTCGAAGATATATCCCCGGTAAACAGAAGGGACCCATTTATAAAATTTTCTTTAGGAGAGCACTAGTCAGAGAGGCAGAAAAAAGCCCCATTTGTAAT